CGTGCTAGGAAGTAGGAGTTTTCTTTTAAGCCCCGTGACGTCCGTTCGGCTATGGTAGAAGCCAGATTTCACTCGACGAATATACGCTCCCGCGTTTGATACGACCCAACGAAATAAATTATAGGGTAATATGGCGGTTATATATATATATATATATATATATCCCAATGATATATCGAGAGAGATTATTATAGAGACTCAAGCGCAAGGCAATCTCGACGGACGCAGTCTGGGAGCTTTTAGAGATTCGTACTGTGCCCCGAAACATTCCAGTACGCGATCCCTCTGTCCCGATAAACATGAATTAACTCTTAAGCCGCGGGATTCGCATAGCTAATTATTAATAGCTGACACTGATGCCAAGTATTATGAAATTTATGTATATGTATGTTTATGGTGTTATCGTGGATCTTATCACGTAGTTGATGCAGCCTGCACTTTTTGTCTTGTCATCTGGAGAAATGACACTGAGCCTCCTTCGGTTCTTTGGTGCTATTTCTGTTGACTCTGTCGCTACGCGACGAAGGCTCCTTCCCATTGGTCGGAGAATCGACCAATTAGCGCGTCGCGTAAGACGTGCATCCCATGCGGTACGTATAGCGATACTAGGTGGTATTTTCGCTAAAGTGAGTCATTCGTCAAGTCTGCGCCAGACGGCTGAGACGTGTCTCTGTCCTGCTTCCTCGTATACGTGTATTCTAGTTTTTCTCTTTCTCCCTCTCGCTTTTTCTCACTCTATACTTATTGCGCGCACAGAGTCCAATGTCAGGGCTGGTTATTCGCTCCCGGCGAAGGGCTGGTCGCCTGCCTATTGACGCATTCGCGCCTTACGGAATCCACGTAGGTGGTTTTACTTGTGCGTTTCGACCAATGGCGAGTCTGTTGCGTAATTGCGCGCGAATGAATATTTCGCGGTTCGGCGTAACGGAGGACATCGGGAGAGGGACATGACAGTGTGATAAGGTCAGGCTTGTTTTCACTGTTGTAATATATTTGCATTGTTATACGATCCACATGCAATGTTCGTCGTGACGTTTTTCGATGTCATATATGTCGGTGTGTTTTAAATAAATATATATATATATATATATATATATATATATATATATATATATATAT